CCCCCCCCACCCCAAGACCTGCATCCACCCTGTGAGCTCTGAACCTGACCAGGGAGCCCCCCTGTGCAAGATAGGACTCCTCAGAGCCCCCCAGACCAGGGGATGTCTGGCTTTGCCCAACACCCTCCAAAGATGGGGCCAAAGTAGCAGCCAGGAGTAACTCTGCCCACCCGCAGCCTCTGCAACGGGCGACGGCAGCAGAGGAGGGTCTGCCATGCCGTTGCTGCCGGGCTCTGATGAAGGGTCCCTCCCGAGCCCCCTTGGCCACCCCTGAAGCAGCTGGGGGCCTCGGCTGCAGCAGCCCAGTTGGAGGCCGGGTCTCAGCTGGCTGGCGGGGGAGAGCCCAGCACCAGCACCACCCCCACCCCACCCCCTCCGGCTCTTGGGCAACCCAGGCGAGAGGGAGCACTGGCAAAACCCCTAAGACCACCCACCGTTCTGGGCAGGGGCTGGACAGGAAGATCGCCACCTCCTCCTCCCTCTGGGACCCTGAGAAGTCCCAGGACACAATTGCCACCATACACCCCCCCCCCCCCTTCATGGCTCACTCCCCACCGTCTGCAGGGCCTCTTCAACCTCTTCCCACCCATCGTACAGCTCAGCTTCCAGCAGGACCATTTCTTGGAAATCACAAGGAAACTTCCCTGTGGACGGAGAGGCCCCCTCCCCCCCCCCGATGCGGGGGGGCCTCCCTCCCCCTGACACACGCCCACCCCCCCCCCCCCCCAATCGATCCCCTACTGCCAGGCCCTGGGCTGTCCCTCTTGTCATTCTGACCCCCTTGACCGAGAGGCTGGACTGATGGAATTAGAGCAGACGGGCAGAGGCTGAACTGCCCTCCCAGCACGTCCGAACTGAGAGAGCCGGATCAATGACCGGAAGTGACCCATAATGAGGCCGAAGGCCAACCTCATAATGGGGCAGGCACCACCGCCTGGCACTTACGGCTCAAACCACTCAACTGCGCTGCTAATGAGCCGCAGCCCACTGTGTGTGTGTGTGTGTGTGTGTGTGGCTTGCATTCAGGCAGCCCCACAACCAGAGCAGATCCTCACAAGCAGCACAAGGACGGCCGGGCCGGGGGGGGGGGGGGGGAGCAGAACTGCTGAAAACCCGGGGCCCTCTTTGCCCCCCCCCCCATCTCCCTCAGCAGCCCCCTCCCACCCCACACAGCCCCAGAGGCGTCCTGGCCTGCTTCTCCTCTGGTGGGATCCTCCCCCGGGGCAAGTGGGGCCACCTATGTGGGCATGCAGCACGCTTGGCAACCATGCTCAAAACAAGGACAAGGTTCTGGCGGAGCATTTGGGCCTCCAGGAGAGCCCCCCCCCCCAATGCCTTT